GAATAATTGCGTTACTCTGTTGGATAGACACTGAAGTAATTATAGTGGTTGTGCTCAATACACTTAGGCCTGTGGAGTAAAATCCCAGTTGCTCTTACTCATCGGGGAAGTCGAGATGTAGATGTACTTGCTTTCAAGTTGCTCATAAGAGTCATCAGTTACGAAACGGCAGAGAAGTTTACCATGATGTGAATTACATAGTAATATTACCTGCACTGACAACGCAAACATTCGACTGGGTTGTTTTAGTACCGTATTGTTTCACTCTGTTCCTAATTCCCTGCCGTTCTTCCGTTTCACCTAGTTGCTCTGAAGTTGAAGTCTTCACGGTAGCCCGCTGTCAGTTTTGGGTTCCTGTATAAGATATTATACTCTTTTAATTCTCGGATTATTCTTACTCTTATTGTTGCTCTGTTCTCAAACTTGCTATGTGTTACCTGACTTAAGGAAATGTGTTCAAGTGTTCTAAATAAAAATGAAGATTTAAATACTAAAGGATTCTGTGGATGCTTCATCTATTATTTTGTTTATTATATTATTATTTGGCACTAGACATAAACAGATTAAAATAATGTGTGCAGTTGTTGATATGGTAAGGTTTTCTGTTAGGAGATGTTTACTTTTGCATCATATCACATCCCGTAGTTGATTATTTTCCTATAACAGCAGCTAATGTTTAATCAGGAAAAAAAGACAGGTACTGTCTCATTAATAAACTATTTATTTTAGCAAGAGGCAGATCAGCCATCGCATGAGTCACATCAGTAGTTGAACACTTAAGAAAAAAAGTGAAATTGCACACATACATCATAAATAATCATAAAAAAATCCAATATACAGATAATCAGGTTGCTCTTAGGCAAGTTTGACCAATCTCTCACTAGCCTCCCAGAGTTTTTTGGCCACACCACTGTCCTTGGCGTAAGGTTTTAATGAGGCTGGTCTGCAGTCGCTGAAGTAACCCCCGTTGTGAGCCGTGACCTCATCCGCTACGGCACAGTGCACGACCGTCTGTGCCCCGGCCTCGCACGGCACGAAAAACATAAACATGATCACCTTCATGAGCAGCTGGTACAGGAACGAATAGTGGCACGTCCAGTTACTCTGCACATAACCTGCAACGAGGACGAGAGGTAAGATGAAACATGCCTGCTGTCAGGCTGCTGCTCATGCCTTTGCGTGTAAAAGCAGTGTTTCAGCACTGGTACCATGTTTATGTAAATAGACACTCTTACTATTCTCTATAATTAAACATGGACCAGTCATGCATCAGTAAAATCACAAAAACGGAGCAAGAAAATCTCAACTGTATTCTGGTTTGCTGTGGTTCAGAGGTGGCAACATATTCAGTTTAGCCATAGCATTTACGATATATGACCCCTTTCCATGATGACAGAGGATATATACTGTCTATACTGTATAGTTCATTAGTGTAGAGACTCTATTGCTGATAGAAAGCACAGGAGAGCTTCTGTGCCAGAGCAGACAACAGTGAATTACTGGCATCCTTCATAAACAAATTATTCATACAGTTATATTTGCCCATTCTCTTGAAGGGTCCCAGTAATTCAGCACAGGTGTGGACTATATTTAACAGAAGTGTGTGTGTGTGTGTGTGTGTATTCATATCACCAGGATGCACAGCGTAGGCCGTCACTCCTTTGCCCTCCATGATGCGAGCCAGCTCCTGGGTGAAGTAGATATTTGCCAGTTTGCTGCGGCAGTGGGTGAAGAAAGGGAACAGGTTGTAGTTAAGGTCCTGGAAGTTCAGTCTCTGGTACTTGTAGCTGGAGCAGGTGAGGTTGATGACACGGCTCGGCGTGCTCTCCTTAAGTCGCGGCAGCAGAAGATTGGTCAGGAGAAAGTGACCCAGGTGATTTACGCCAAAGCACATGGAAAAATTATCATCGGTCCAGTCCAGGACACTGGGAACTCCTGGAGAGAGCAAAGAAAACAGGATAGTTCAGGACAAGAATACAGCTTCTTATACACTCACCAACAGTGTCTAAGTGCCAGTTTCATTACACACATCAGCCAGGATTAACACTCTGTGGACTTGATAGCAATGATGGAAATCACAGCGACACAGACACAGGAAAATCTAAAACATACTATAAAGTGCTGATCAGTCACATGTGAAATCAGTGTTTACTTTGTGTTTATTTTGCTCTCTTGGACTGCTGTGGTATTGTCAGAAAATGCATGATCTTACTCCAATCCAGAAAAAATACATTAAATTTGTTCTTGCTTGAGCACTCAGAATTGTGAGACTTCAAGTTTTTACATATATTAGTACATCAGTGACATGTTTTTCATTCATATTTCTATTCCTGCGGTTTGAGTTTGAGAAACTGACAATCAACAAAGATGTGTTTAATCAATGCTACTGGTTTTACTTAATTTTTGCCTGTATAAATTAATATCAGCTGAGTTATTGAACATATATTTTAGCTCCTTAAAATCTACGAGTGACAAATGTTCATACTGATCATGCCCTAACAGTGCCATCCCAAAAGAACACAAAACATTTCTAGATGTAAAGGATTCTCTTAAAACATGCTATGAAATTTTAAAACAGTATGCCCTGTTGTTTAAAGCAGCGGTTTGTAATAATATAGAGCCATCTGCTGCCTGGAAGATGAATTGCAAGCACAAGAGAAACACTAAAAAGAACTTTCCTTTTCATACCAACTGATTTCACCTCCTCTGATAAGATTACATATGTCTGTGAGCTAGGAATAATTACGACTACACATCAAATCCACTGTGTTTACAGTGTCGTCGAAAGGCTCTGAGATGTCCACCGTCCTCACCTGCATTATTGATGAGAATATCCAGCCTCCTCTCCTTCTGCAGGAAGTTCTTGCAGAACTCTCGGATGGACCTCATGTTGGCCAGGTCCATCTCCATGAAGAGCACGTTCATGTTGTGGCTCCTGTTCTTGATCTCCCGCACAGCCTTCCTGGCTCGGTCTTCATCCCTGCAGGCGATGATGACTCGGGCTCCTCGCAGGGCCAGAGCCACAGCCGTCTCTTTTCCGATGCCAGAGTTACCGCCTGAAAATGAAAAACAAAGCAAGGCAGGAGCATCATAGACAGAGTTACATTAATAAACCTCAGTGAAATTACTGAATGTATCTTTACTGACTATTTAACATGATCATACACGAATAAGGCATATCTTGTATTTGTGAAAGGAAAAATTATGAATTCATCCTCTGTTTTGGTTTGAGAGAATCCTTCAGTGGCACACATTGCCTCGTGATTCTATGAAAAAATGATTTCGAATATAAAAATTTAATATTGTAACCAAAATGGTTAACTACAATGGCTGGATTTAAAACAACTCCTTATTGAAAGTGCAGTGCACTAGACAGAGTGCGGACGTCATTATTTCGTCCCCTATGTAGTGCGCGAATATAGGAAGTAGCCAATAATTTGAAATTCGGCCATTTGTTTAGCGATTCTATGTAATTTATCAGCTTACCGGTTATAAGAACAGTTTTTCCATCCAGTCTTTTTACATCCATGCAGTACCTTCTGCGCTTCATCCATTTCATCACCAGGAAAGACAAAAGTGCAGCGAGAATTGTATACAAAAGATACATTTTCTACTGCTAACTGGCTAGCTATCTAAACGCCTAGGCACTAACGTTAGCTAATAGCTAGCTGGAGAAAGTGCACAGCATTAGCCAACTAAACGCTTTATTTTGGCGTGTAAAGTGTCCCCTATCCATGCAAAATAATAACTCAATATGACTAGCAAGCTTCATAAGCTAGCTTCCCGTTTTTAGCTGCTTCTGTAATGACATCCCAGGCAGCAGAAGACGCCAGAGAGTTGTACAGACACAACCTAGCGGCAGCAGAGTAAGTGTGGCTCGATCTCCAATAGCATCTTCTTACACTACATAGTGCGTAGGGTCAAGCTATTTCCCACTTTACGTAGTGCATTCAAACAGGGAGTGAGTGTTTATTTGGGATGCGACCTGGTGGTAGGTTGCTGCACATGAGGGAACGCTGTCCTGTGTTTCAGCTGTAAAGTAGATAAGTTATGCCACAATGATTTCTGCAGTTTTAGATGAACCTCAGGTGGGAACACTTCTCAGTTCCTTTGTTTTGGAGGATGATATACGGCAAGATGTCAAAGATAAGCTCCAGTTATTCTTGGAAAGGCTTACAGAGAGTGCAAGGTTGGTGGTAATGCAGTCTAATAAAATGAAACCCCTCAGACTTACTGTTGAAATCTGTTATTAATATGATATTAATTATTATAAGTCAGTGTGACAAGAAGTCGTGTCGGTTTTTGCTAAAATGAGCGATATAACCATTTAATTTCGATACTGTGACAGTTCAGGTTTTTACACATGCAATACCAAGAGGGACATTAATGATTCATTTTAGTGATTCGGTTCACTTATTCGAATCTCATACTGAACTGATTCGTTCAGGTTTTTAGAGATGTAATGCCAAGAGAGACATTAATGATTCATTGTAGTGATTCAGTTCACTTATTCGAATCTTTTGAACTGATTCGTTCAGGTTTTTGCATCATATGGCATTTGCTTATCTTATTATTTTATTTGTTTTTATTGCAAAATGAATGACATTACAGTATTGGCTTCATGAATGCGTTCACTATCATTTCGTCAAGCCAACATGACTCAGGAATACACAACAGTTGTAGACCTCTGAAAGATCTCAGGAGGTCAGAGTTGGTGTACACTTTTCTGGCCAGAACCCTCAGGATCCTAAAGCTTGCAATTGGACTGGCTCACCACACTCCTGTGCACAGGTTTTTGATGGGAAGCACTTTTGCACACCTCAGTAGAGCAAGATATAGTTCTGTTGTTCCTCTTTCAGCTGCTCCCATTAGCGGTTGTCACCACGGATCATTGGTCCGTGTATTTGATTTGGCACAGTTTTTACGCCAGATGCTCTTCCTGACGCAACCCTCCCCACTGTGAGTGCACTGTTGCATGCAACCCCAGTGGCTGGCGTTGGTTCCCTGGGTGGGACTCGAACCCAGACCACAGCCGTGAGAGCGCTGTGGCCTAACCACTAGTCCTCCTGGGACCCAGTAGTGCAAGATATAGTCCCTGTATTTAAAAAGTTCACAGAATCCTATCTTTAAATGTTCTTAAAGAGTTTTGTGTGAAGCACTTAGTGTATGAGATGCTGTCATGTGTTTGCTGACACTCTGTGGTTGCCTTTTTTTTGTTCATGTAGGCAGTTCTTAGCCATGTTTATTGATGAAACATACCACACTCTCTAGCAGAAGATAGAAGTTTAGCTGGTGTGAATAAAGTCTAGCCAGATCTCTAGCTTCTTGTGGAAAGTCTGGTATATTTTGTCAAAAAAAGGTATTCTGACTGACATTGAAAACAAACAACCACAGACCTATTCTAGAGCATATTGTAAGACTCGCAAAAATATCATTTACCCACTGTTTCATACAAAACTCAAGAATACATTTTAACGACGGGATGCTCACAGTGAGCTCAGTCGCTGTGAGTGTTTTCTGTCTGAAACCAGCATACGGAAAGGTAGATACACAGAAGTGTGGAGAGCCAATCATATTGCAGCCCTTAAGATCCTGAAACTTGTGGCCAGAAAAGTGTACAAAAGTATCAGATGCAGTCTGTGGTTGGAGCATCTATGGATGAGGGCTATTGGCTCTTTTCTTTGAGGGTGTTCTGCTGCCCTGTGGTGTATCATCCAGCAATAGACTGGCTATACATGTCTCAGAGGAAGCACATGCTAGCCTTCCCACTCCCCAGTCTCTACCCATAAAGAACTAGCTAGTGGGTGGGAACTGGCAGTGACTAAAATTTGAAGACAATGGGGCAAAAAAAGGAAAAAAAAACATTGAAATCCTGATGATATGATGTTTTAGCTGTATTACTGCTAACAGGAGTACAACAAAGCGGGTTAAAGAGCGCTCCCTAGAGGAGGCATTGCAGATGCTGAGGAAAATTTCACCACCACTGCTGCAGTCGCTGAAGTCTGAACATCACCGGCGGCTCATTCAGCTCCTCCTGGCATCACAGCTGGATGCGGTGAACACATCCACATCAGCCTGCCGCAAACTAGACCAGGTAATAGGATGACTCTTTTCATGAAGATTCATGTACAACACGGCACATATTACCAATCAGACTGATACAAATGTGATATGTACTGATATCTCTATAAGGTAGAGCTTTATGTTTTCATGCATGACTGCTCATTCTAGTCTTGATTTGTGTTATAACAGATGTTGCAACACCTGGCTCAGGTCAGTGAGTCTTTAGTATTTGAAGAGGTCCAACAATGTCTTCACAGACTACTCCACCAGGAGCAGGTGAGAAAGAAGGATCTTCTAGAGGATGGTTTCTGCAGCCTAATTTTGTGCTAAACTGGAAATACTGTGTATTAATAGACTTTTCACTTCATTTCTAGGTTTTGTCATTAAAGGACCTTCAAATAGGTGAGTGACTAACACTGGCCGTATAATACTACGTATTGTTGGGGTTATGCATGCATATTTGTTTATATACTGTATATACATAGTTCTGATTACTATGACTTTGACAATAAAGCTGATTTTTCTTGCATATCCCAAACAGTGTGTATGTTCCTGGAGGAGAGCATGATGGGCCGAGAAGGTTTAAGACGAGTGTTTTCATCTCTGCTGTGTAAAATCACCACGTTGTTGCCTGACATTATGAAAGAAGAAGCAACAAGAAACGGTGCTATGTGTTATCAGACAGTCAAGGTCAGCATACTGGGTTAAGCCTGGGTTAAGTTTATCTTTTGGACAGTTTTATTTAGGGATAGTTGTGTGTATGTTTTCCAGCTGTGTCTGCAAATGTTCCAGCTGCTGCCTGAGCAAGTGGTGCCGCTGGTCTTTTCAGAGCAGAAAGACAAGCTGCATATGAGGGAGATTCTGGGATTCCTTATGAATATTATCTTAGGAGAGGTGAGTGCTTTTAGCTGGGGCTGCGTTCCACAAATCATCTGCGTTGTTCTCACTGTAAGCTCCAGGATGTAAGAATTTGGGAATTTCTCCCTCTCTGAAAGAACATTTTGTAATGTGGGCTGTGCTGCATTTTATTACTACTATATAAACAGTGTGTGATCGTGGCAGGTCATGGTGGATTGTGTTTGTCAGATTTGTAACAGGGACACACGGTTGTTGGCAGGCACTGCTGTGGCCATGCTGATCTCCATAGCACCTGACAGTGAGAGTGGAAATTCATCAGCCTTGAGTTTACTCCAGGTTACTAGCACGGGTGAGCATCTTTGTGTATGAGCATCTACTGTACACGAGCATCAAGAATATTATGCTCCACAAGTCAGGTGTGTATATATCTCTATAATTTTCCATTTTAGTTCATAATGGGGTGTGTGTATGTATGTTGCAGAGAAGTGTAGCTTGACAGTAGGGCAGTTGCAGGTAGACTGTATTCCCAGAGGATGTGATGGAGTTGACAGACTCAGTGTAGCCAGAGGACTCCTGACCTGCTTGAGGAAGGGCATCCTCGTTCAACAGAATACAGGCAAACAGGTACAGCAGTGCACTGAATAAAGTTAGACATAGGGTGTTTCCAAAACCTAAAAATGCTGCCCACTAAGGCATCTTTTCCTTTCCTTTCTTTTCATAATGTATTATTTCCTTTCCTTGACTTTGCTTTGCTTTCCTTTCCTTTCCTTTCATAATGTATTCTTTCCTTTCCATTCCTTTCCTTTCTTTTCATAATGTATTCTTCCCTTTCCTTTCTGTTCCTTTCAGTATCCTAATTTATCCTTCCCTATCCCATCCCATCCTATCCTATTCTTTCCATTCATTTCCTTTTATACAGTCAGGTCCATAAATATTGGGACAGTGACACAGTTTTGGTAATTTTGCCTCTGTACACCACCACAGTGGATTTGAAATGAAGCAATCAAGATGTGACTGAAGCGTAGACTTTCAGCTTTAATTCAAGGGGTTTAACAAAAATACTGCATTAACCGTTTAGGAATTACAGCCATTTTTTACAGAGTTCCTCCATTTTCACAGGCTCAAAAGTAATTGGACAAACTAATATAATCATAAATATTAGGATTATTTTTATTACTTGGAGGTAAATCCTTTGCAGTCAATGACTACCTGAAGTCTGGACCCCATGGACATCACCAAATGCTGAGTTTCCT